GTGAAAAGTGGCGTACGCAAGTTTCTGGGCTCAAATTGTGCGTACGCCAGTTTTATAAATCCGACCCCTGGTCTTTAAGGAAACATGTTTATTATTTGTGTTTTAGTTTCATCTTTATTTTATCAGTTCTCCATAACTGGAAACAAAGCAGACGATTTGCAGCAAAAACCACAACCAATGCATGAATTTATTGGTTTTTTATTACTTTAACTGCATTAAAAAAACAAACATCAGCAAGAAAACTGTCTCGCTGTAAATTATATTTAATTAATAATGTGTAGTCACTCCTTCCAAATAAAGAAACCATAAGATGAAAATGATGTTGTACTTTTTATTATTTCACAGCTTTCTTCAGCGCAGGAACAGACGTTTAGTTCATTACTTTATATTTCTGGTTGAAATGAACCATTCATTTGAAAAAAAAAAAAAGTCTTTTAATTAGTTATTTCTTATAGCAGTGGGGTGGACGTCCTCACTGCTGATCGTCCCCCTCTGSGTCCACCCCCACGAAACTCTCCCTCCTCAGTCTTTGGATCTCGGAGCTGAGGCCCAGCAGGGTCTGAGCCAGCTGCAGGTCCTGGGTGCGCATCTCCATCTGCGGGGGCGACAGAACGCAGAGTCGGCAAATCTCACAAACACCTTTTTTTTATTCACAATAAAACTTAGTAAACTTTTTTTTGTTTAAAATAAGTTTAATCAAAATTTTCATTTCTTTTTGGAAAATGCAATCTCCGTTTCTTTTTTTTCACCACGTTCTCAGTTCAAACACCTGCCTCCCTGATGGTATGGAGGTGCATTCATGGCTCTGGCGTTCGCACCTTTAGCTTACATATCTGTAAACGTTATCATTGATGCAGAAAATGTAAAGCAGTTTTAAAACATAAAGAGCTCCCATTCAGCAGAAAAACCAGCAAAAGACGACCCAGAACTGTTAAAAAGTCGAGATTCTCCTTCAAAACAACTCATGAGACGCTTCATCCAGGCACACAAAATTACAATTAAATGTATAATTTCTCGGTATGTTCCACTGAATAAAATGAGTTTATGAAATTTATGCTAATTATTATTATTTACATAAATTTTAGAAAAAAAGATGGGAGGATCTCACCAGCTCAGACCTCAGCCAGGTTATGGCTCCGTCGATCTGCGCCCGCCGCAGCTCCTCGTTGGCCTGGAGGCTCCGGTCCACGCTGCGGTCCTGGCGCTCCGCTCTGGACTCCGCTGAGGACCTGAAGGCGTGGATCAGCTGGTTCTTTATGTTCTCCAGGACCAAGGTYGACAGCGTGTCCTCGCTGTGGCTGTCCCGCTCCATGTCGCGTGGAAACAAACTTTCAACTAAACTCAACTTTTTTAAATAAAATAAAACAAAAAAAAGCCTCCTGCTCCTCAGAGCTCCTGCTCCGAGTGGTTTCTTTCACCTTCCTGGCTTGTTTTGTCATTGTTACTATGGAGAAACACCCTCCTCCTCCTCCTCCTCTAATAAGAATGTTAGAAGATCTCAGACAAAGACTATTGTTGCCTCCAAAAAGAACTGAAAAGACCCCCATCCATCCCCCKTGTCCTTCCCAGCAAACCCAGCTCTCACTGTGAGAAATGTGCTCTGATAGAGGGGAAAAAAATCAATCAACCCCCTCTTCAGTGGATCTTTTCCAGCTTCTCCCTAAATAAGACCTGCTTGTCAGATTATAGGAGACGAGCCGGTCTGAGTATGAGCTGGTTCACAAAGACCGTCCTGCCGTGAAATATAACCGAGCCCTTTGTGCTCCAGTTAAGTCCAGTCCCCTCTGGGGGGTCTCTGGACGGTTCTGGCAATGCAGAAGTTTTTTTTTCTTTAAGCCAAGGTCAAGACAGCAGGAGGGCAACAATAAAGACAGCAGCGAACGAGCCGTCAGCCACACCGACTGCAGGAAACAGAAGTTCTCCTCGTTTGGGGCGAACATTTCTGCCCCTTTAACGGTGTTTCTGTCGTTAAAGTAACTGAGGTAAAGAGAGAACGAGTCAAGAATGAAGATCAGAGATCAAACCGGACCCAGAAAGACAGTGATCCACATTTAAACAGGCACAGTTTCTGCAAACCTTCAGCCAGACCAACCGTTTAGGTTATTTTCACTCTGGAATAAAAACCGACTGGAAAAAAAAGGTTTAAATAGATCTAGGAGGAATGATAACAGGTGAGGCTAATGAGGACCAGGTGAGGATAATTACCTGAGGGAGAAGAGCTGGTGGGCCCAAAAACCTGAAACGCAGAGAAAACAATCAGAAACAAATCAGAGGAATAAATCTAAAAGTAACTAGACGTGGGTTTTTACGATGTAAAAACAAATGTGCATTGCCACGTTGCATGTCATTGCAGCATGGCTTTGTCTGCAGCATTGGACTTGTAGAATGAACTTTGACCAAGTTCAAATGTGTTTTCTATACCAGCTTGTGCCTGTCACGTCAGCAGGTTTTTAGAATTAAGGTAATTGAGTGACAATATGAAGTTTGAAGAGATTTTTCCTTAAAGTTGCATAAACTGGGATTTGAACCCTGATCTCCCGCATGAAAGTCCATGACATAGACCATTAGACCAATGGAGCTGTGGCAGAAAGT